AACCCAAACCAGATACGATGCGTTGCTACAAATGTATGGCGAAAAGGTCGAGGAGAATCAGGAGCTACGACTGGATCTCGAGGACATTAAGGAGATGTACAAAATGCAAATTGATCAACTTTTAAAACGACAGAATTAATTGTGCTGAAAATATAAAATTATATCGGAAACGAAGACTTACACGCAGCCTACAATTCTCTATGAAACTTTAATTATACACACGCACTTCAGCATGTTTTATCATATAATCAATTTGTCTATTGTATTTCTAGTAAGATTCGGCGTATAACAAAGTTTTATAGTGGACGACTTTAATAATACATATAGTCTAATGTAGAAAATGTATTTATATTATTTAATGCAAACGGAAATTTGTGATAAAGGATTTAGATGCCGATTAAGATTTCGAATGAAATTCTTTCTGTGAAGTTAAATATGATATAAATATATATTTATTGAGGATTAGATGAAAGAGATCTTTAAAAAATGTAAAAGAGGTATCAAAACTTAACATATCTTTTTGTCTTTCTGCATTGTTACAATTATTATTTCTTGTATAATTATTGTTTCATATATACTTTAATTTTACTATTTAATCAGGGAGGATCATGTGATATTGGATTGTATTATACAATGTTTAAATATATAATGTATATAATATATTGAGAAAATGTACTTTATCAAATATAGTGATATAAACATTAATAATTCCTTTATTGCACTAAATGACGTAAATTATCAAATTCATATTTTTTATGCCTTTATAAATGTCGGAAATGTAATATGTTGAACATAATTTCGATAAATGATGCAGAAATCTGTAATACGTTTAATTTTAAATATTACAACTGATGGATTTACGGTGTGTAGTAATTGTCTGTTTCATGTCTATGCATGATATCACGCTTGCTTTGGTTATATTTAGAACAGTCCAGTGCGACAAGATGCACCGCCCGTGGAGATCCGCGATTACTCGTGCATTTCAAATGTCATAATTTTTCGACAAAATCATTCGCGGTTGCTCTCTAAATTCCTCGTTCATTCTTACCAAAGTTCTGATTTTAATTATCTCGGTTAATTTTTATTATTCTGTGAGTATATATCGAAATTATAGATGTGTATGTCTCTTTCTCTCTCTGACATATACATTCCTCGATATTTTTCTTCTCGATATGAATCATTTACTCGATTTTGAAAGATATATATTGACTTTATAAAATTCTATTACCACAATTAATTGTCATTTAACGTCATATATTGTTTATAATATAATTTAAGTATGAGAAAAATGTATTATTAAATTATAAATTTCAAATTATGTTTTATATAGATATATTTTATTTTGCGTGCGCAATTGTATATATTTTAAGTCCACTTTTGCAAAATGTGATACATTATAAAAGCAAAACTAATTTGTTTGTATATTTAATTCTTGACTAAATTCTTTAATTCTCGATTAAAATATTACATTTATAGGTTAAAATTATGAAAGATATACATATGCATTGAAACAATAAAAAAATTTAAGAAACATACTCTTTAATATATAATATGCTTTACTAGAATTGTGCTTTAATAGAAGTATTTAACATGGAAGACTTGGCTTCGATAAAAGGACAAATTGTTAATTCACAGAAGAAAAGGAGGCCAGACGTAATACTGCATACCAGAAATGTAATGATTCCCATTCTAAAACCTGTGCCTTTTAAGCAGAGCTGTAACATGTCCTTTTTAGAAAGCAGGTGTCAGATTCTGAGAGCAAAACACTATAATAACAATACTGCATTGCTGTTTTCAGAGATACCCTTGCATACATTATACGATCCCTTGGAAAACTCGCTCGAGGTCAATCCAAATTTATATATTCTAGAAGATATTTCTCTTTTTCCTTGTCTTATTACATACTTTTGAATGCAATCTCGAAAAATACTAACAATTTTGTTTAATATATTAATATATATCATCTGTATCTGAAACTTGAAACTATAGGTACAAAGAATTGGTCACTGGAAATCCAAGAATCAAAGTACAAAATATACTATTTTTGGAAAGACTGATTCTGCAAATATTAAAAAAACCAGTGCTTCGCAAAACTCATATCCATCTAAGAGATCCTCTCGCAAGAAAAAGTATAATATATTACAATTTCCTAATACAGTGCTTGCGCAACCTGAATCATCGACAAACGAAGATTTACACAAGGCAAGTTCAAGATCTATAAAATTATCAAGGAAGTGTGATCTATCACAGATAGAAAGACAGACAAAACACAAAGCCATGTTTACACTTTTGCCAAAAATGGAAACATCAATTAGTAATGTCATGGGCAAAACAGTTGTATCATCATCAAATCAATCATTCTATGACACTACCTCCGCAGTGTCGACACAGTCGGTGTCAAGCTTAAAGATCAGAAATAAAAAAACGTTTCCAAATGTTATAAATAGGGAAAAGTCAGTACCTAATTTAGTATCGAATCATTTGCATCCTATTACCAGCGAATATGAAATAAATGTTTTACATTATGAGAATGATATTCTGTCAGGAAATAACTTCCCACAGTTTGTACAATCTCATTTGAAATCCACTAACACAAATTCCAGTTTAGTTAAAATTCAGAATGACAATACTGCTAATGTAGAGAGAAATGCAATGAAAAGTAATAAAAGGGACGAAGATAAAATTGTTAGTAACATGAAACATTCATGGAAAATGAAGGATTGGATGTCACCGTCTCAAAAAAAAAAATATGACAACGCAAGTGAAATAAAAATTATTGGGAGGAATGATAAAAGCCCTTATGACTGTAAAATAAAATATTCTTGGCAAATTATTGGAACAAGCACGCAGACATCATATACCTTATTACAAGATTTATTAAATAATGCCATTATGGAAGATAATAAGTCTTTATATAAAAAGTGCAGCATTAAATATTCCTGGCAAATTATAGGGATTAGTACGCAAGCGTCTTTGCAAGATTGTAACGACTCAGATTATTGGAGCGGAATATTACTGACACCGAGTAAGAATTATAATGAAAACAAAGCTAAAATTGATAATAATGAAATAGATCATGCTGAACAAGATTATGCGAGATATCCAAAAGAAAAATTGAAGAAATATTTGATATTGAACAATCAACAAATCCAAACTTTCGCTGAGAAAGAAATTCAAGTTGATTGCAATGCAAAATATTCTTGGCATAAGATGATTAAACAATATCTGTAATTAATAAAAATGCAATTTGCGAAATAATATTTATATGTATTTAAATATTATCGATAATTGTTTATATTAATTCAAATCGTTAATTATTTTTTCCAGATATGGAACAGATTTCAGAAGCACTGAAACAAAAGCTGTCAGATAAATTGGAACTAGAGCAAATCGACAATTATCACGGATTATTACACAAATACACGATAAAACCACTAATGCCAAATATTTCTAGTAAAATTTCTGCGATATCCGATAACGGCAATGAAAAGACGAAGAAGGAAGAACTTCTGATGCGATTAACTTATGCATTAAACAAATTAAATCAATATGAACGAAATATCGAAAGTAAAAAAAGTATAGAAACATCATGTCTTGATGCAAAAGATACTTTAGCACAGAAAGGAGTCGTATTGCCACGGAATGTGGAAGAAAATGTCAAAGGCATTATACAATCTGCACAGGAATATATAGCGAAATTGGATTATCAATTGAAAGATCTCGACAATGCTGATCAGCAGGTAAATAGGTGCTCTTAAAATTTATTGACTTTATTTTATTAAAATTGCTACTTATTTTTACGGTGACTGCAATAACATAAAAAAATTGTTTTGTCAGATAGAAAATAGTATGATGAGAACATTAAAAGATATAGACGGGACATTTCAATCTTTATTAGATGATGTATGCCATGAAATTAATAAGAGACGTGAGCTGTTGATACTGGAGACAGAAATTCACAAACATGAGAGTCTAATACCCTTGAGGGCTTGTAGAAGGGAAGTAGAGGCACAGCTGCAAAATGCACAGAATATTATATCGATGAGCGAAGGTATTCTACAGCATCCATATCGATATACCATAAACGGATTTGGAAAGATAATTTCTGCAAGTAATGATATAGGCAGGTGAGAACTTTGTGATGGTAATTTAAGAATTATGTTAAATATTTCTCAGAAATACATGTTTTAATTTCATTTCTAAGGATCCCAGCAGTGCCATATTCCGAGGAGCTTCCAAATATAAACTTTGATCGTCCATTGAACTCGTACAAGGAAGAGATTATAGAGCAGATATCGAAATTTGGCTGCATTTCTCGCACAATACCTGTTCAGATAATGAACATTGAAGAGAGACCGGCAGGTTTATTCGTTAAATGGCACGTAACTAATCCGGAGTATTTTGCCGAGGAGCAGATATTTATTGTAGAGAAAGCTAATGGGGAGATTCTCGATTCGGCATCGAACAAATTTGAGACGGTGTATAAAGGATCCGAGACTTCTTGTTTTATTAGAAATATATCTGTTGATCAATTAATTACACTCAGAGTTAGAATACAAGCAGACAACATCGCAAGGAGTATACATCACGTCACACGGACTTCTATACCGCCATATAGTATGTATAGAGAAAGTGGGCGATCTGTATTAAAAATAAAGCTTTCGTAACTCTTATATAGATATTTTACTTACATTTGATTTATTTTTGAAACCATAAAACTTTTGATTTTATTTTAATCTCATTTAAATATTTAATATTATAAATCTGATCTAACACAGAGTTTTGAACTAGGAAAAGAATACTTTAAAAATTTTGCATTTCATGTAAAATTTATTAATGTAAAAAAAACTATTTTTAATGATTACAGGCTGGGAACTTGATAACAAGAATTATATGATCACTAACGGTAAAATTGCTGCAAAAGTCACGAATACTATAAGCACACTGTTCTCACAAGGTCCTCAATTCGATGAGAATCACATAATTGAATTCAAGGTAACTATATACAATACCATTTTATTTACATTTTTTTCGTCGTACGTTACATTTTTTTCTATGTTTCAATTTGTCTATCATAGTTTTTAGAAGTTTCGCAAGAAGGAGACGATGACGAAGGTATTGCGTTAGTTTATGATCCGCAAGGTAGTAATGATACCTTAAAAAGAGCAGCGTCGCTAATGATCACACCTCAAGGCAAAATCTTCATGGACGGTGATGAAAAACTGATGCGCCTGCCAAGAATGCGTTTCGGTGCGGTTATTATGATCTCTGCCTTCCGGAAAAATGCTCACATATTGCGAGTGAATATTGAATCTGAAAATAAATGTGTTACATATGACTGGCATGTACAAACGCCGCTGTATCTTGCCGCCCGGTTTACAGAGTCCAAAAAATGGCATTTGAAGATTGAATAAAGATGAGAGATATTTATCTTTATTTACGCGCAAATTTGTCTTTATTACAGAATACAAGGTGCACAATGTAATTTTGTAGCAATAAAAACAAAGTGCCTTACTGTAGGAAAGTATCGTATTCAACCAGAACATCCTCTGCAGCCACAATGTATGCATTCCACTATTCGACCTTCTTCAAGTTTACCTTTTGGCACTCTGCAAATACAGTTTGTACCGAAATTCGTGTCCCTCGTCTGAATGCAGCGCAGACAGCACAAATTTTCATAGCCAACTTTTTTCCACTTGGCGATTAAATTTTTGTCAGCAATATTTTCATTCAAACAATAATCATACAATTCTGAAATAAGTAAAAGCGTAAAGAAACCAGATACATCTTTTAAATCCTTTTTAATGATTAATCTTTTAAATCTGTTTTTTTTTTATGATATTTAACTTACCGCGACTAATCGCCTTTCTCCTGTAAAACAAGTCATATATATATCGAGATTTTTGATGATGTATTTTGAATATCGGCCATAAGGATTCCTGTTTTCTCTTGCCTTCATGAGGCTCCGTCTCGGCTGTAAAAGAAGAAAAAAAAATCGTAAAACATCTTTCCTGTTAAATTGAAACAACTAATCTAACCTCGCAAAGAGCAAAACACTTACCTTCGCGCATCTTTTGCTCCAATTCCTCCAGAGTCGGTTCGATTAGTTCCCAACCATCTGGAGGCGGTTTCTTGCTTCGTCGTACTTTTGGCATGATTTATTTTCAAATAAATATTATATTTCAAAGAGTTTCTATCAATAAACAGCGGTACACTATTTTATAAAGGTACCTTTTCATGCTGACGCTCGGTGTCGATTTTCGGTGTCAAAATAAGTCACGTGATAGAAATTGACGAATATCAAGCGTCAATTTTGATCACGTGAACTATTTTGACGCTAAATATAAACGTTGAGCATGAAAAGGTACCTTAATCGATATATCATAGACAGAATAATAACTAGAGAACATGCGAGATGTTAACGACCGCTTTTCTATCTCGCTCCCACTCAACTATTTATCGCATACGCATTTTTATAACATTTCTTTTATTCACGTATATGCCAGTGTGTACGTGCATGATTAGCGAGATATTTGAAAGAGTGGATTAGAGTGGATATTAACACAACTACTTTATAAATTTTATCAGTATACTCATCTCTGTATATATATATATATAATGTAGAACACATTTCGCATGAGATTACAGCCACATCAATTGTAACTACATATATAGACGATTTTGTATACAGAATGTCCTAAAATGTTATCGAACGATTTAAGTTTTTTACAAGGAAATTATGAAAAAAAAAAATAATCGTCGTTGACGAGATAATTTTAGCGATTTGAATCTGATGTGAACGAGTAGTATATAATTCTTATATATTCCGATTTTAAATTAATAATATAACGAAAAATTAATCTAAGACAATGATTATAGTTTCATAATTAAGACTCGTGATGCAAATTTGCAAATTTCGGAATTTTTTTCTAAAATCCGCAAATCTATTTCATAACAAGCGACTCCATTCTTGCTCAACGCAAAATGCATGACTAATAACGTATCTGGTTATTATCGGACACCTTGTATAATAGTAAGTATTAAAAAAAGGACCGGCAATATCACCCAATATTATCTGTGACATCCAAGTAATGTGACGAATGGTGACGAAGTCGTAATCTCAAGAGGGTTACATACGCATTTATTTCTTGCCTTGATTGTCATTGACAATGCCACTCGGCTTTAGCCATCACTGAGATTAATATTTTACCTTTTGTACAAAAATCGTCACAGAAGAATGGGTCAACGAGTCTCAAGAACGGATTTCGAATGGGTTTATACGGAGGAACCGCATGCCTCGCGGCGTAAAATAATTCTAGGTAGATATCAAACTTGCAAGAAGACCAGGATGTGTGATATTTAATTATTTTTATTTTTATTATAAATATTTGAATGCTGCTCTTGGAATATTAGACACATAATTGTAAAATTGGAAAGATACGCATAATTCGATTAGAGACCACGCCTATTTTGAGAATTATTTGCTCGAATTATACTTTATATGAAAACAGCACCGCAAAATATTAATTGAATTTAAAGATGTTTATGATATTTTTAATTTATTGTTGTTTAAAATATAAAGTATCATTTTTGAGATATAAGATGTTTAAATATTTGTTTATTCAGCAGTAAATGATATCATACTGATATGTGAATAACACAACTAAGTAAATTTATTGTAATTATTTGATATTGTACAAATTTATACTGGAATGTATGAGAGGAAAAATTCAACAAGTCTAATTAAAATAATATTATTTTAGAAATGTATTTTATGTTGATTTTCATGTATAGTATTTACTAAATTTTATAATTTTTACAGTAAAATTAAATAAAATTAAATATTGTATTTAAATTAATCATATTAAAATATATTACTTTAATCAATAATTAACTTTTTTAATAATAATTTTTGAAATATTTTTTGTTTTAGAGAAATATCCACAAATTAAGCAATTGTTTGGATATGATCCAAACTTCAAATGGGTTGTTACTGGGATGGTATTAATACAGTTCCTATCATTCTTTATTGTTAAAGATTTGAGTTATTCCAAACTCTTGCTATTAGCATATTGCTTTGGAGGTGTAATAAATCACTCTCTTATGCTTGGTACGTATATATTTTATTCATTATATTTACATTTTATTCAATATAGTAAAGTTAGAATTTATCAAGCATTATGCTAATGTTTAATATATTAATATTTGTAGTATATGTATTATGCTAATTTGTGTTATGATTTGTTTTGCAGCAATACATGAAATATCTCATAATCTTGCCTTTGGACATGCCAGACCTATGGCTAATCGAATATTTGGTTTTTTTGCAAATCTGCCAATAGGAATACCAGTATCTATCAGTTTTAAGAAATATCATCTTGAGCATCATCGTGTGAGTATTACAAGAAATGATAAAAATTGATAATAAATGTTGCATTATCTAGTAATTTAATATGTTTTGATTTAATTTATATTTAAGAGATATACTTTTTGCATTTTTAGTATCAGGGAGATGAAAAATTAGATACAGATTTACCAACATTATTAGAAGCGAAATTATTTTGTACAACTTTTGGAAAGTTCTGTTGGATATTGTTGCAACCTTTTTTTTATTCATTTCGACCTCTTGTAACTTATCCAAAAGCACCAACTTCATTGGAATATATAAATTTAGTTATACAATTGATATTTGATGGTTGTGTATGGTATTTTTTCGGTAAGTTTCAAAATTGTAAAATATCAGGATGCAATTTATATTAATAATATAAATTAGTAGAAATTGTGAAATTCAATTACTAAAAAATAAAATCTGGTTTTTAGGTGGTAAAGTACTATTTTATTTGCTTTTTGGCTCTATTATGGCAATGGGATTACATCCTGTAGCAGGTCACTTTATATCGGAACATTACATGTACAAAAAAGGTTTTGAGACTTACAGTTACTATGGTCCTCTAAATTTCATTACTTTCAATGTTGGATACCACAATGAACACCATGATTTTCCTGCAGTGCCTGGTTCGAGATTACCAGAAGTATATCAAAATATTCATTATAGCTAGATGTAATTGTTATACACAATATAACTATAATGTTTATTATTTCAATGTTTTTTACATAGGTAAAACGTATAGCCGCAGAATTTTACGATAATTTACCACAGCACAATTCATGGGTTTCTGTTTTGTATGATTTTGTGATGGATCCTGAAATCGGGCCGTATGCAAGAATGAAGAGAAGGCATCGAGGATTAAATTGACAGATTTTTTTTAATTCTCCTTAGTTTTTCTAAAAATATACTACATAAGATTTATACATCACTAATTCTGCATATTGTTATGCAGAATTGCATATTATAGCACAATTTAAAAATTGTATTCAGAAAAATGAAGTGTGAGAGTTATATGCTGAGAGACTTGTAAGCTATTGCGTGCATAATTGTAATATAAATTTCTGAAAAATTTAGAGGTAATATATATTATGGGCAAGCAACTTTTCAATGTTTCTACTAAGTTATTTTCACAAAGGTTTTTAGATCTAATTTTCATGGAAATCTATTTCTTGAAATCTAAGTCACTAGACTATGCTGTCAGTAACTTTTGATTAATTATTCATTTAATATGCGTCGAAATTTTTCAATTAAATTCATAAAAATTGGATTTTAATCATTTGAAACAATTTAATCAGTATTATCAGTATTATATAGTCAAAAGTGCTATATATATTTTACAGAATAAAATGGATCTGTGATATAAAAATATATATTGTATACTTTTATGTATAATATAACGATTTTAATAGATGGTATTGTTATCAAAAACTTACAATTAGATCATCTTACAGAGAAATGCATGATGTACGTCATATAACACAAAATTGTACATATTACTTCAATGAGAAACTGTAATAATTCATAGACTTATTTGTCAAATAATTGTATATTTTCCAATAAATTTAAAAGCATTAAAATGGAACGTATATAAAATTTCTAAAAGTTGCTTTATTTTAATTTATTTTATATCAAAGAGGCTTATATCCAGAAAACAAAAGTCCAAATTCGAGCCACAAATCATGAGTTAATCGCATTGAGCACTGAGCCACTCAGCGTCCCAAAAGATCTGGTTGTGGCTGTGAAGAAAATTGTTCGTCACGGGTTATATGATTGCTTGCGCACGCGCGCGTGTGTGTGTGAGTTTCGCCAGGCGGACGTCTGATTCTGCGCTGGTTGACTATTCAGGCGCCTTTAAAGAGCACATTGAAGCACACGTGTGTGATTTGAAGAAAATATCAATTAAAATATTTAAGATTTATTAAAAGTATTTGCACATAAACTGATTGCACTTTGTATGCAAAATATGTTTGCGCTAACCACGTTTAAATGAATGATCTAAATAAAATAATCATTGTTAGAAAAGATTTATCAATGATTTTAAGGTTAACATGTAAGCATTGCTCTTTGTGTGTGTGACACGTTACATTATTTTATATTAGACAACATTTTATTTGACAACAAAATTACGAATCTTATTTTATATAAATAAATATTAGAACACATTGTATTATATTACTTGCATATATTATTATTCTTTTGGAAATTATTTCAGAATTTTTCTTAAAAGATGAAGAAAGAATTCGATGATAATTTCACTGATGAAACTACCACTGGTGTTAGACAGAAATGGTACGAGGAATATCAGAAGGCAGAAGGACCTTGCAAGCACTCCAAGTCTGAAGCTGACGTTCTGCATTTAAGGGATGAGGGAAAGAGGTATCTGGATGCAGAAACCACTGCCTTTCAGTTGAAACAATCCAGATCACATGATTCAGAGACGAAGTGGTTAAAAACTGCATTGCAACGAGGTACCACCTCGGATAAAATAGCAGCCAGTATAGTGCTGGTGCAAGATAATCCCAAATATAATCTTAGTCGTCTGATATCCCTGATATCTCAAGTACGAGGTGCCAAACATAATCAATGTGGTATGATTATTACATCGTTGAAAGAACTCTTCCTGGAGGATTTATTGCATCCTAAATTTAAATTATTAAAATTAGAAGAACAGGACTTGGACAAGCTCAATATAGAGAATGAATCAGATTCCATTATTAAGACAAACACCGCTAGAAATAGATTGTTGGCGCACTGGTATTTCGAGGATCAACTACGAGAACAATATGAACGTTTTGTTCTGAATCTTTCCGCGGTGGCTTCTGATACGGTAGATACAAATCGTGAGAAAGCCATATCTGCGATGAGTGGTCTGTTGATAGATAACTCCGAGCAGGAGCACAAGTTGCTGGAGTTACTTGTGAATAAACTCGGCGATCCAAGTAGTAAAGTTGGATCCAAAGCTGTATTTTGTATAAATAAATTATTGTATGAACATCCGAACATGAAACTCGTAATTTTGCGTGAAGTTGAAAAATTGTTATTTAGAAGAAATGTGAGCCAGCGTACTCAGTATTACGCTATATGTCTGCTATCGCAATATGTTCTGAATAAAAATGATGAGGAAGTAGCTGCTACACTGATAGAAGTGTATCTTGCGTTTTTCAAAGCGTGTTTGAAGAAAGGGGAACCTGATAGTAGAATGATGGCAGCAATTCTAATGGGTGTTAGTAGAGCATATCCTTTTGCCAAAATAGATTCGAAAATAGTAAATGAACATATTGATTCTATTTACAAAGTGGTACACCTTGGATCATTTAATGTCTCTCTCAATGCACTTAACTTGTTGCATCAGGTAAGTACCATGAAATAGCATTTGTTGCAATATATAAAATATTTCTTTTCAGTTTGTAATTGCATTTTCAGATAACAAGCAAGGATGAGTCTCAGGCAAACCGATTTTATTCAGCTTTTTATAGAAAATTATTCGATCGACAAATAGGAGTAGCGAATAAGCATGGGGTATTTCTTAACTTATTGTATCGAGTTCTTCAGAGAGATCAAAGTATATTACGCTCATATGCTTTTATTAAAAGAATCTTGCAGATTACATTTTATTTTCCTGCGAATATGGTATGTGCCATGCTCTACATTGTCTCTAAAGTTCTTCAAGGACGCAAAGACTTAAAACACATATTGCTTGAGCCATGTAAGGCTATTAAAGTCGAGAATGATATATATGAAGTAAACGATAGCTTATCAGATACGGAAGACGTTTGTGTAATAGAAAATGAAAACTCTATTATGTTATCGAATATTATGATTGGTGCGGATAGCGAAACGAAATCGGATGTGAAGAAGGAAACAGAGGTAAAAGTTGAGATACAAGATATAAAATCATATGATCCTTTTTGTCGGAATCCTTTGTATGCGGGTGCAACCAAAGGACTCAACGCCGAGCTTGAAGCATTGTCTAGGCATTTCCACCCGAGCGTCTCTTTATTCGCGAATCAAATTATTCAAGGTAACAAATTGTATACAAATTTTCTATACAGATTTACATCGTTCACTATTATTTGACATATTTATGCATTTTTATATTTCAGGGAAACCGATCGAATATACAGGTGATCCTTTGGAAGATCTGACGTTAATTCGGTTTTTGGATCGATACGTTTTTAAGAATCCGAAAAAATTGGAGGCCAAGAAGGTACAGAAAAAGAATGATCCTTTGGCACAACGCGCCGGATATACACCTAAGGGTATACGATCCCTTCCAGTCGATAGCGCAGCATATCTCGATGAGAGAGAGGAGCGAATACCAGTAGATGAGTTATTTTTATATCGATATTTGAAACAGAAGGATGAGATCAAAAAGCGTGTTAAGAGAGAAAATAACGAAGATGATGAAGACGCAGACAGTGTCAACAGTGAAGAATTCAATGACATGTTGGATCATATGGGCGACGGCCAAGATTTCGATCAAGATTTCGACGACTTAGATATTGCTGCGGATATCCAACCTAGGAAGAAGAAAGGTAATAACATGTTTTTTTTGGCATAAATTTGTATAAAATAAGTTTCATTGAGATAAGAGGAAACTTGCTCAAGCTTCAATGTTTCATGTGTGTGTGTGTGTGTGTGTGTGTGTGTATAATTTTATAAACAATAAGGTCTTACTAATTTATAACATTTATAACAGGTAAAGCGGATGAAGATTCTGATGATGACGAGGATAACGAAGATAATGTTAGTCAATCTGATGATGACGACATCATCGATGATACATCTGAAGATCTTGATGAAGATGTCGCGGATGACGACGGCGACTTGCAAGATTTGAGCGATATCGATCTTGCAGATGTAGATGATGAAGATCTAAGCGATATCGAGTTCAACGATTCCGAAGATGAAGAGACTGTAGATGACGAATTAATTTCGAGTTTGAATAAAAAGCTAAATTCGGAAAAGGGTCTGAAAAATAAAAAGAAGAAAGGAATCGATAGCAATATATTCGTATCGGCAGAAAAGTTCGCTGAAATGTTGGAGGAACAAAATAAAACAAAGGGAAAGCACGGCGGTAGTAACGTTTTTAGTAGTAGTGACGGCGCTAGCGCAAAGCAAATAGATTGGGAAATGAAACGACATCAACGATTGAAAGGATCATTTGGGAAAAAGCGAAAGTTTGTTCAATTGTCTAATAATAATTGGGCTAAAAAATTCAAACGATGAATATGTAATAAACATATTTCATAAACAACTTTACATTTGATTACAATAAACTTTGATTTCCAATGACTT